TGAAACCAACCCAGTGGCTGAGCACTTGAACACAGAGTGTGTGCAAGGTCCTAGGTCTGAAATCCAGAGCTCATGCACACACTCACTCACACGTGCACACACACTGTGGGTGGTTAATCATGGTACAATTGACTGGACTTGGAATCACAGGGCTGGAGAGTGTCTTCCAGGGTGTTTCCAAAGAGGTTTACTGAGGGAGGAAGAGCTAACCCGGATGTGAGCAGCACCCTCCCACAGGCCGGGATCCCAGACTGTGCCAAAAGGAGGAGAGCTGAGTGCCAGCATCCATTTTCTCTTCCTTTCCTGACTGTGGACACAAAATGACACTCCTGCCATCATGTACTCCCGGCCACGATGGACTTTGCCCTCAATCCGAGAGCCAGCATAAATCTTCCTTAAATTGTTCTCCTCAAGCATTTAAGTAAAGAAAAGGAACCCATATAAATGAGAAGGAAGAAATAAAAAGTACAGCTGGGTGTGGAGGCTCAGAGCTGTAATTCCAGCATTGGGAGGTTGAGACCGGGCGATTGCTGTGACTCTGAGGCCCCTCTGGACCTCTACATCATGAGATCCCATCTCAAAAAATAAAGCAAGAAGGAGTTGAAGAGGTGTCTCAACAATTAAAAAGCACTGGCTGCTCTTCCAGAGGACTCAGGTTCAGTTCCCAACACCCACACAGTGGCTCACAGCCATCTTGAATTCCAGTTCCAAAGGACCTGATACCCTTCCTTTTCTGGCTTCTGGGGACACCAGGCAAGCCTGTGGTGCACAGACATAATACAGGCAAGACATCCATGTGCAGAAAGGTAATGTTTTAAGATTATTAAATAAAATAAATAAAACAAGAAAGGAAGGAAGGAAAAGAAGAAAAGGAGAGAAGAAGAAGAAAGTTCTGTCCCTTGGGAAGCCGGGTAATGAGTAAACATGCCATGGTTTGAATGATCTTCAAATTCATATGGTAATGATTCTTAGAATGTAACTTCTGGCCACGCATGGTAGCGCATGCCTTTAATCCCCGCACTCTGGAGGCAGAGACAGGGGATCTCTGTGAGTTCAAGGTCAGCCTGGCCTACGAAGTGAGTTCCAGGACAGCCGAGGCACAGAGAGACCCTGTCTCCGAAAAGAGAGAGAGAAAGAGAAAATGTAACCTTTGGATCATGAGGCCTCTGCACTTGGGAATGGGGTAATCCATCCATGTTTCTGTGGATTAATGGTTATAGAGGGAGTAGCTCTTCTTTGAAAGGACTCTCCTTGGCATCTTTTCTGGGTCTCACCACGTGATGCCTTGGGCCATGTCATGACCCCGCAGGATGGCTCTCACCGGTGCCAAGTAGATGCTGGCACTGTGCTCTTGGACTGACTCCCATCATCCTTCAGAACTCTGAGCTAAGTGAATCTCTGAGGGGAGGCTCACAAATTGCTCTGTTCTCTGGCGTTCAGTTATAGCAAATAGAAAACAAACCATTTATTCACTGAGCAATACATTTAAGATCTATGCAATTTACCATATGTAATTATACCATAAAGTCCTATGGTGACTCAATATAACCTCCCTGAAGGAACCCACAACCTATGAAGGAAGCAGACTACAAAGAACTCCTTAGGAGTCAGAACCGCAATAAAGAATTTGAACGCAATACTCAATTGGCAAGAACACTCACTTTCAGCATCCTGAACAGAACGGCTGGTAGATGTGCATTTATGGATACAAAGAGAAAGTACATGCGAAGTTGTCGGTTGAGTATTAACGAAGTCTTCCTACGAAACAAGTGAGCAGAGGATACCAGTTGTATAACCTGTACAAGATTCTGGGTTTGATTCCTGGTTCTGCTAATAAAGAAAGAAAAGGAGAAGGAAGAAAAAATGATGGGAGAGATTTCTAAAGTCTGAAACACTTAGGGTTCAGGCCCCTATGCTGCAGGCTTCCCCCTTGAGACCACTGTACAGAGCCCCCGTCGTTGGGGGTGGGGGGTGGAGTCAGGGATGGGGACAGATTCAATACTCTTGACCCTTGGTGGAACTGCAAAGGGTCCAGATCAAGTCTAAATCTTAGCTATGCAGGGTCAGCCCCACCTCAGAGGAAAGGCTAAACGCAGTGGCAAGCTTCTGCCTCTCCTCCTCCAGCAAGCCCGCAGGTAAGAATTCATTAGCAACAAAGTAACCACGCTCGGAGATTAGGAGCCAGGTTTGTATCTCAAGACAGGCTGGCTTCAAATTCTTGTTCTTTCCTGTCGGGCAAAACCAGCCACCCGAGCTGGGCATGATGATACACGCCTGTAATTTCACAGTTCCAGAAGCCGAGGCAGGAAGATTGATGGCTTCAGGTTGCAGGTCAGCCAGGGTTCCACACCAAGACCCTGCCTCCAAAACACAAACAAAACCCAAATATGGACCCGGAGTGACTGACCTGCTGTGCTGGGTGGCAGCAAAGCCTGCCTTTAACCTCATCAGAGAGAACGGAGGACAACAGCCTTCCCACACCATCATGCCTGGAGCACACCATCCAATTACTGCTCCCCTCATTTCCTCCACCCTCCCACCGGGTCGGGTTTGAGAGCCATGGCCTAGGTGCTAGACACAGGGGAGGAATGCCTTCAGAGAGTGCTGACTATTTGAGATGCCCAGGGGGAGACAAAGCACACAAAAGCACCCAGAGACAGCAAGGAAGGATGCACACAGGAGAGGAATGGGAAGAAGATTAGCCAGATGCTCAGAACCGTCTTTTTTCTCTGGATAAACAGGTCTCTTCTAGACACGGTTTCTCTGAAGCCTGACACTGAAATCCTCAGAGGTCACAGGCCCGAGGCAAGTAAGTGACCTGCTTTGTTTACACAGGAAAAGGTCAAAGGTCAGGAATGTTGGGGCTAGCTAGGGAAATGGTTCAGTCAGTAAAGTGCTGTGCAGGCATAAGGAACAGAGTTTGGATTCCCAGCACTCACACAAAAGCTGGGCACAGTTGCTCAGCTGTCGGTAACCTCTCAGTGCTAGGGAGAGGGAGACCGAAAAGGAAAGACCCCTAGAAGTCATTGGCTAGCCAGCCTAGCCAAATCAGTGAGCTCCAGGCTCAGTTAAAGACCCTCGCTCAAAACAGTAAGGTGGAGACAGATCAAGGAGAACATCCGACATGGAGCAGTTGCCTTCCCATGCACTTAAAACACAGGTGCACAGACACACATGTGCACCTACACACACACACACACACACACACACACACACACATCCATATGAACCACACACGCAAATCAAAGCACTATTATGTAACGCTGGATCTGCTTCAGTATCAAAAACTATATGTACTTTGGGGAGAAACTTCTCTCTTCAGAGTCCTCACAGCTTGCAGGGATACTCAGGAGATCAAAGGTGAGACGGGTCAACTAGGGATGGGGTAGGGTCAAGTTAGCCTAGAGAAACAATGGAGAGGAGAGAGACGTGGGAGAACCTCCCTTAAAAAGTGCCCTCCACCCCCTAATGGGTCCATTTCACTACCCAGCCATGATCCGTAGGTCTCCTCAGGCAATGAGGCAGAGAGATACTAAAGTGCTTTATAGGGGCTGGGCATGGACCTCAGTGGTAGAGTGCCTATTCAGCACGCAACACACACACACACACACACACACACACACACACACACACACACACATTACTGCTTGCTTCCTAGTTTTCAGAAGGTGGTAATCTGAGAGTTCAGGTCAAAAAG